CTGTGGTTAATTAGTTCAAACTTGAAAATATGAGAAGCTCAGAGAAATCTAACCTCTAACCTGTGAGATAAATTGAAGTAAATTTAAAAAGAATAAAAACAATACAGCCTAGATGGAATTGCAGTTTAACACACCCACCTCCCCCAACCCACCAAAACATTCTCTCTCTCACACACACACACACACACACCTGGGGCAATTTAGTAAATCATCCAGCATTCATAAAAGCTCACCTGAAACCTGGCCACACACCAAAATCCCAAGTGTGGCAGCGAAACCAAATGCGAAATTCACTGTTAGGAACATTCCATGCGATCCTTCACTCAGGACCAACTGAGCAACAGCACCGCAGCCAAACATCTGGATGGATGGAGGGGGAAAATATGTTATCTCAATAGCCCAGTGAAAAAAAATACTCTTTAACGCTTACATTCTCCATGGACGTGCCACTGACTTGATAAGCATTGTTCTACGTTTTGAATCTTTCCTCTAGTCTCTTCACGACCGGTTCTTTTTTGAGAACTTCTTACTTCTTGCTTGTCTTCAGAATCTTGAGCATGACAGTAACTGATTTTACTTTGAAGTTTTTGTTTTTTTTTAAAACTGACTGTGCTCTCGCCACTGGTTGAATTTATGGCACTTTGAGTATGTCCATATTCTGAGTTGCTTCTGGTCATTAATTGTGCCTGGGTAGCTGCATTATACGCTTGGCACATTAACCGATCTGTCTTCCGACACTCTTTACCAGGACACACAATAGTTATCCATAACCTGATCAGGTCCCCAAGTGGGTAAGGCTGCGATCTCTGACTCCACTGAAGGCATGTTCCCCCATACCACTCTCAGGGGCGCAAATTTAACTTAACAACCCGCTTACCACCTGCATTAAACTGCAGTGCTGCTTTTGGATTATTCCAGGCTTTCCTTAACATCTGGGATTAATCCTCAGCCGCAGGAAGAGACGCAGGATCCCGCGTACGGGAAATGCTCACCCGTACACCTCGTGTAAGGGCTGGAGCTGTAGCTTCTTCCTGAGTATCAAGGCCTAGAAGCCTTGCTGCACTTAAAATGCGAGAGAGAATATCAGGAACGCCGGCTCCCTCCTGAAGCGTCCGACCTGGATTCATCTTCCTTGTCTTCTTCAGCATTCAACCTCACTACCGTAAAGGGAATTATTTGCATGCGGTGATATCACATCCATAGAATCATCCTTCTCTCCCTGATATGATGTTCACTCGTCTCCAGCAGAGGGTGCAGCAGGGAGCACAGGTGGATGGATGTGTGCTTACTGCAGAACCATGTGTTTCAAGCTTACCCGCTAAGTCAAAATTCGTAACCGAGTGACGTCCTCGAGCTCTTGGACTTATTTTTGAATTACACACATTCTTCAGATAGGAACACAGCATGAAAACATTGGGGGTGGGGGTGGGGGATCCTCAGAATTATAATAGGTCGAAAATTCCAGCATTACAGAACAGGAAATGGTTGTGATTTGCAAAGCTACGTTTGGCTTAGTGGACCTGTTTTTGTCTGGACAGTCAAAGAATGTGAAGTGAAGATATAAAAACGATGTGTAGGTAAGGGCTAGTGCGTGTGCGTGCGTGTGTGTGTGTTTTTTCCGTGTATGTGTCTGCATACCTGTTCTATCCCCTAAAAGGCTCCAAACCCCAGCTAAGGTGAGTAATAAAAGATCAAAGCGATCCACCCTTAGCAGTCTGAAAACAACATGGGCTGAGAAAAGATTTACGTCTCAGTCACCACCTGAACCAGATTACGTTTTTTTTTCATCCAGTCTTTGATTTTTCTTTAAATGCGTTAACTCTTATAGTATATACGAGTATATCGCCAGAAAACATACGCATATTTAGGAGTGTAATGGACTACTAGATTGATTTCGATCTTTCTGCACACTTTCCCTCAAGCTGAAACATTTCTTTATGTATTTTATGCCAGACGAGAACAGCAATGGGTTGTCAATGCATTCTTTGCATAGTCCATAATATTCTTGTGTGCATTTGAGCAAGAAGAACAAAGGGATACTGTCATTGGATAATGACTCCCCCCCCCACCCCACCCCTGTAACCAACTAGGATAACACATTATTGAACCTTGATTGATTGATTAATTTCATAAATTATGCATTACTGCATTATTAGAGTCTTTACATCGCATGGTACTAGAAACTAATATCAATCGGCCATATTGCTCATGCAGAATCCAATCTTACTTCTTCAACCAAGGTAGGTCTACACAATAAGTGTGTTTATTCGGACTGAAAGCAGTAGGGGTAAATAATACAGAACAGAATTCAGCTGTTATAAAATGACAACAATTTACCATGTGCGTTAGAGTGGAATGAAATGTGTCGACTATTAAATATGAGGATTTCAATAAATAAGTCTATATCCCCATGGGAGCTGTCTTATTTTATTTCAATAATGATCTAATCGAATTGAACTGCAACGGTTTTCTTTTTCCTCGGGGGCATTTTGTAACCTTTTACACTTGATCTCTAAAGAAGGTTAAGGAAGATTAAATTAAAAAAAAAAAATTATTTCCTTAATGGATGTCTCAATAACATGAAGTTTTTCTACTTAACATTAGGTCCAGACTTCTTTAGCCGGACGTCTTTAGCAGATGAAAAACAAACAAACAAACAAACAAAATGAAGCGAATTCATTCACCTCGGAAATAAAGCAAACCTTATATCGTCTCCGTCCTTTCTATGTAAGACGAGACCCGGTCTGTGCCAGTTTCAGAAATGATTCACTGCTGAGTACAAATCTGTTAATTGTCATCAGTGATGAAAACAAAAGCAGTTTACAGACTTGTGAGATTAAACAACAACAACAACAACAACAACAACAACAACAACAAAACATGTTTAATTCTCACCACCAGGATGAGCGTGCCCAGGCATTCTGCAAGAGCCTGACGCATCAAGAGGTTTCGTATGTGGAACATCTGCATCATTTTGTCCATGAAAACCTTCTGCCTTCCCATGATGCCACAGACACAGTGAAAGTTAGAAGCACAGATAAAGATGAAGATGATGAACAGAACACAGGACCTCAGAGAGGCACATGCATCCCCCCCTTTTAAACAGAGAACACACACACACACACACACACACACACACACACACACATACCTTTGAGCACTCCCTTTCTACCGTCTCTGCCTCCACCCATATCTCTTGCATACTATTTCTTTTTTTCCCATCGTTTAAAAATATATGTCTTTTTGTATGTGTGTCTCTGTGTACTTGTGTGAGACAAGATTGTAGCACGTATTCATTTTCTTTTGCTCTTTGTCTTAATCTTGTTATCCTGTGTGCTGGGAAAAGCAGCTAAACAGATGTTTTGAGAAAGGCAGAGAGCCTTTAGAACATGCAGGCCGTGAGGTTGGTCTGTCTATATTGGTACTGGAGTAATATGCAGTGAAGGTATGGTACACATGAAAATAAATTATTTGTAGAGCAGTTAGGCCACCTTAAACGTGCGAAAAATACTGCGAAAAATAGCCAGTAAATTCCTCACCCATGGGGGCCTTTAATTATATATATATATATATATATATATATATATATATATATATATATATATTTTTAAGCAGATAAGGTAATTCCATAAGTAAAATGAATTCTAACTAAAAAATTCAATAAATAAAAATAAATCTGGTGTCATTGCTGTAGACTACATGCTATATTTGGGTGACAAAGTATTTTTCTTGCGTTTGTTTTGTAGTTTAATTGTTGATTTTCCATTGGTTAGCAGTGTACAGTAAGCATTATTATTATTTTTTTATTCAATTTGATTACAAATTGAATGGCACCTATATCCCGAATATATACCATATAAAGCGGAAACAAATGACAAGAGTGCTAGAAACAAAAACTAAAAAAAATCTAACCTTGGCAAATAATAAGGTTTAAAGTATTATTTCTTTCTTTCTTTCTTTATTTAAACTTGGTTTAACCAGAAAGTCTTTTTTTTTGCAAGAGAGCTCAGGCCAGAATGACTTTGCAATGATGTACCGGAATATTTGTAACTCACTAAAGAATTTATGATTAGAGTTCAATAACAAAGTTAATCTCATTTACAACTTTACACACCCACAGCATGGAAAAAAACCCCCACGATTTTTAGTTATTCGAGTACATTAATCACTGACAGGACAATTTTGGTTTTAAGTTTAAAATCAAAGCATAGAGACACCCCCCCATTTTATTTTCCTCTCCTCTTTCCACCTCTACTCAATATCTCCAGTCTTGCGAGAGACATTTGGAGCAGATTAAAGCTCTCACAGCCCCGGAGAAACAGGATGTTTAAGAAATTGAGGCCAAAGGAAACTGCACAATTGTTCTCGCAAGTAATATGATCAGCGCTAAATATGGGAGCTCGAAAGGTGTTGTTCGGTCAAGTACACACACGATATATACTCCCACAACTAGAGAATGTAGGTAAAATGAAGGCAATACAGCCGTTCAGATTTCAGAAAGGAATGAGCACGGTTGGAAGCGTAGGCTGATGAAGTAGTGCTTGGAAACGATAACAATATCTAAACTAGCAAATAGATCGATAGAATAGAACGAGTTATACAAAAACAACGATCTTGCGCATTTCCGGATGGAAATGCAGGCCGCCATAACGGCTCTTTTGTTTCGCAACTCAACAGATGTTTGCAGAGAGCAGCATTGGATCAGTATTGAGTACGCAAAAACTGTTATATCAGTATTAACAAAAAAGCAGTTTAATCCATCCATCCATCCATCTTCAACCGCTTATTCCTTCTTCAGGGTCGCAGGGAACCTGCACAAGGCAGGGTCCACCCTGGACAGGGTGCCAGTCCATCACATCAGGGTGCCATCACAGACACACACACTATGGACAATTTAGACTCGCCAATCAACCTACCATGCATGTCTTTGGACTGGGGGAGGAAACCGGAGTACCTGGAGGCCCGCAGCACGGCGAGAACATGCAAACTCCGCCCACACATGGCCCCGGCGGGAATCGAACCCCAGACCCTGGAGGTGTGAGGCGAACGTGCTAACCACCAAGCCACGCGCGCAAGTCTCACAAGTCTCGCAATCCAAGCTTGCTTCCCAGAGCACGAACAGGAATACATTCATTAAGAAAAAGGACAAGTGGGACAAAAAGACGAATACACAGTGTGTCAAATACCTCCAGTGATTTTTTTTTTTTTTTTTAGAGCTTCCAAACACATTTAAGACCTTTCACAGACACGTCATAAAAGATTTTCAGATAATAGCCCGTAGACATATCAGGTTTCATATTCCACTCTTCATATTTTTGGTCATGCTGCACCTTTACTGTTAGAACCCATTTTCAATCCTTCCTGTTGGTTCGTATGAATGAAACATTCCACATAAATTAGATCCCGATGATTTAATATACTGTAGTTTGTTCACTTTAGAGCAGAAAGCATTTTTTTTTTCTTTTCTTTTTATTATTCACATTTCAATTAGATCCACATTGAGAACTCTGAGAATATATCATAACACACAAAGTAAACTGTTCCCACATTTGTTGGCACCCATGAAAGAATCAACGCTCACCCACCTCGTGAATCCCAACTGAACCTCTAACGATGACAGATTCGTTTCTAATGAGGACTCTTCTGTGAAAGACTAGGAATTGGGGAACGGCACGAGAATTACACTGATTCAGAAACATTTATCTCACTTGATTGTGCGCCTATTGACCACAAAGACCAGTCATATGTATTGTATCATTGTATTATAGTATATCGTATTTATCTCACACCCAGAAGTGTTGTGTTATTTGAGATGGGATTAGACCTGAAATGTGGGTTGTCAGCGAAAATGAAAGCTTGTGTGGCACTTTAATAATGTGGGATAATCAAAGTTCTTATAGATGTTTGCTCACACATACACAATTGACTCAGGGTTGTTTTCTTTTGGTCTGATATAATTGAAGATTCACAGAGCTTTGAAAGAGTCTCTCTCTCTCTCTCTCTCTCTCACTCTCTGTCTCTCTCTCTTCAGTCTCCTTACACACACACAGCAGGAAAATAATTGTTTCATGTATTGATTTAAATCTCGGGAAGCACATTAAGGCAGTAGCTTGTTTAGTAGTGCAAAAAAAGAGAAGCATTTCGTTGAGATATCTATGTACTTTTATGACATTCTACAATGCACCTTAAAAGATGAAATTGTGACTGATCTAATGTGTCAAAGACATCTGATACTACTTTAGATTAGATAACGTAATGCCATTACCACCTTAAAGTTGATCGTTTTGATGCAACAGCACATCCTGAAGTGTTTTATTCCGCTTATACCGCAGTGAATGATAAAAAAAGGGGGGGGGGTTTACAGAAGAAGGCAACCACGTAACGTTACATTTAATGTTGCGAAATGTCTGCAAAACAAGTTAGTTCCTATGATCTTATAAGAGCTATAAACAGTTAGCTCTTACTATTCAAGACTGGTTCCCTCACCGTCCCCCATAAACCCCCCCGTTCTCTTGAAGTGACAAAAAATAAAAAGTCATGTCATTAACGACCCAGAAACCAGACAGGGTGATGAGCTGTGTTGCTTTTACGCCAAACATATCGTTTTGCATTGTGGGCAAAAAGTTCGATTTTGGTTTCATCTGACCAGAGCACCATCTTCCACATGTTTGGTGTGTCTCCCAGGTGGCTTGTGGCAAACTTTAGACAAGACTTTTTATGGATATCTTTGAGAAATGGCTTTCTTCTTGCCACTCTTCCATAAAGACCAGATTTGTGCAGTGTACGACTGATTGTTGTCCTATGGACAGACTCTCCCACCTCAGCTGTAGTTCTCTGCAGTTCATCCAGAGTGATCATGGGCCTCTTGGCTGCATCTCTGATCAGTCTTCTCCTTGTCTGAGCTGAAAGTTTAGAGGGACGGCCAGGTCTTGGTAGATTTGCAGCGGTCTGATACTCCTTCCATTTCAAAATGATCGCTTGCACAGTGCTCCTTGGGATGTTTAAAGCTTGGGAAATCTTTTTGTATCCAAATCCGGCTTTAAACTTCTCCACAACAGTATTACGGACCTGCCTGGTGTGTTCCTTGGTCTTCATGATGCTCTCTGCGCTTTCAACAGAACCCTGAGACTATCACAGAGCAGGTGCATTTATACTGAGACTTGATTACACACAGGTAGATTCTATTTATCACCATCAGTCATTTAGGACAACATTGGATCATTCAGAGATCCTCGCTGAACTTCTGGAGTGAGTTTGCTGCACTGAAAGTAAAGGGGCCGAATAATTTCGCACGCACCACTTTTCAGTTTTTTCTTTGCTAAAAAAGTTTAAAATATCCAATAGATTTCGTTCCACTTCACAATTGTGTCCCACTTGTTGGTGATTCTTCACAAAAAATTTAAATTTTATATCTTTATGTTTGAAGCCTGAAACGTGGCAAAAGGTTGAAAAGTTCAAGGGGGCCGAATACTTTCGCAAGGCACTGTATATAAAGTTCTTTATATATTTCCAGGAGAAGCGTTCCTTTGTTCCTTGGTTATTTGGGAAAAAAAAGAAGAAGTTTTTTTTTACTGTTCTCACCCAATAGTCTCAGATATTGCAGATATTTGTACTCTTCTGGTTCAAGTCTGTGAGCAGAGGAAATCATCTTGCTGTCTACATTGATTTATTCCAAAGCTCTTTTTATTGAACAGACTCTTTTGAAACATTTCAAGACGTCTGTATATCTGTCTATGACTCCATTGTAAGAAGAGAAAGAACAGGGAGGAGTGTTTTTCGTGTGCTTCATACACAGATGAACGCCAATAGAACTTACTGCAAAGGAAGAACTATTCTTATCTCTCCGATGTGTGCAACAGGAGATTTTTTTTTTCTCTGGTTATTATGGGATGTCAGGCGTAATTTATGCTGTTTACGCACTTGTTGACAAAAGAAAATGTTGACAGAGTGACAGCGGCAATGACTGTGAAAGCAAACTAGGTAATGGTTAATGCCTATAGAATATATAATCATTATATAAGAATATAATAACTGTCTGGGTCTTGATTTAAAAGTCAGGAAAGCCTCTAGGCAAAGACGAACAGCTGATCTATTGTTATCGGTGGCAGAAATGCAGAAATCCAGGTGCACGCATTTGTCTTAGTTAGTATCCTTGTGAAGACCTTTCACTGAAATACTTATTAACACACTCAATTAACGCTACGCCTAAAAGCAAATCCGAACTGAATTCTAATCTCAGTGAATAAAAGGACACCTTTCGGTTCTCTTTCAGTTCGTTTCCGTTCCTCATGGGGACCCGCCGAATGGCCCCACATTTGTTTAAACAGATAACCAGCTACTCGACTTAATCTCATCTCACTCATTTAAAACCATCAGCTGGATCTTACTTGGGATGCTTACTTCGTCGTAACAGTGCTGTCAACATCAACGCGAGGATTCCCTCCCTGCCTTATTATGCAAGATTTGAGTCCGGTTAAGCCTAGATACTTTAATATCCAAACACATATTGTTGTCTTGACATGTTTCATTCGACTAATTTGACAAGACGTGACATTCCAGACTAGATCCGCAAACTCAGTTTGATATTTTTGGTTATTGTTGCTGATTTCAGCTCTCACGTCTCTTTAGAAGACACGGTACCCGCCAGTATTTATCGCGTCTTCCAGCAATGACAGTATAATGAATCCTCGTCTGTCCTTGATGAAATATACCACATGACACAATTTTATAAATAAAACATGAGCGTTTTTTTTTTTTGTTTTTTTACATGATTGCCAGTTTTCATATGACTCAAGAGCTATGGGTCTCGAATTTGATAAACTCATGGTGTAGCTAAGCCATTGTCTAGTGTTGTGGGGAAAGCCCTCTGTGTTAGCAGAAGCGCTAACACACGAACCAACAGTACCAGGATTTCATTCTTTTACTTAATTATTATTAGGATACAGAGGATACAGTGAACAGAGCCATGATACCATTGTGTGTGTGTGTGTGTGTGTGTGTTGCAGTATATGCCTTTTTCTCAAGGTCATCTCAAGGTCATTCTTGAGACCATGGCAGGAAACTCACTGCATCAGCATTAGCTAGTTTACAGGTAGGTATACCATTTGGCACAATGGATACAGCTAGCTCTATAACATTTCTTTTGATAGCTAGATCGCTAATTGCTTCTATAACGTAGATTACAGTGCCTCTAAGGTGACATTGGCTATTTTTTTTAAACAAAGCTGTGGACATCGCAGACACCAGTTAATATTTTGAGGCTAAAAAAAATAAGTAACTTGTGCTCCAATTTAGAATGTTGTGGGAATGTCATACTTAATACAGTACACGACCTCCAGTCAATTATTGGGTGGAATAAAAAAACTTTATTCACATGACCCAGTGACGTATTTTCTTTTTCTATTAGCAGATCATTTAGCTTCTTTCTAGAAATAAACAACTCATTGAACACGCTTCAACAACCGGTGCATTCAGTATTGACGACGACCCCTCTCTCAACCCTCTCACGGACTCTTTGCCATCTGGCAGAAGGTACAGGAGCATCCGTGCCACTACCAGCAGACTCTGAAACAGTTTCTTCCCTTAGGCAGTCAGATTAGTCAACACACTGCTGCCTGTTATCGCTCACGTGAGCTAGTCAAACACCTAACATAGTATGATTCAGTACCACTGCACACCGCACTTTACACAGCTCCATCGGGTCACTTCTATACAGTGGTGCTTGGACGTTTGCGAACCCTTTAGAATTTTCTATATTTCCTGCACAAATACGATCTAAATCATCATCAGATTTTCACACCAGTCGTGAAAATAGACAAGAGCCCAATTAACAAAAAAGACAAAAAATATTATACTCGGCCATTTATTTTTTGAGGAATTTTTTGATCCAATATTAGATATCTGTGAGTGGTAAAAGTACGTGAACCTATGCTTTTAGTATGTAGTGTGACTCCCTTGTGCAGCGATAACTGCAGATAAACGTTTGGGGTAACTGTTGATCAGTCCTGCACATCGTTCCTCAGTACAGAACAGCTTCAAGTCTGGGATGTTGGTGGGTTTCCTCACATGAACCG